GTTTTTTTAAAAACACTGACCTCCCCTCAAAGCTAGTATGTTTGTGATACCAGAGTCAATGCATCCTTCCAATATTCTGACAACTTGAGTTCGCTTTAGATTTCCAGCAGAAAGGTGAAGTAGAGCTGGTATTCCAAATTTTTGTTGAAGATACTTACTCAGCTCCAATGCAGGATGCTGAAGCCTTGTCGAACCCCCAACTTTTATTTCTTTTAGGTGGCTCTCATGCCATGTAACTGACACAAAGGACGGTGCATTGTGAGCGTGGTTGGCTATGTCTTTCAAACTGTAATGTCACACAAACCACAACCTCATTATTTTTGTCATTAATACCAGGCTGATATTATAAATCAGCCGTTCCATTGGTCGCCTACCTCTGCTCTAGTAGAGCTTGCAGGTGAGGAGAGGTGCCTGGTATTAATTCAGCAGACCAGAAGAATGATTTCGACCTTATCTTTTCTGCTATGATTTTAGGAATGTCAAAGTCGGTCCGGCTTCTGCTGCTGCCAGACGGCAGTGACGTCGCTGAAGCTGTCGCAGCACTGGTCCTGGTGTCGGCCCGTGCCTCATCGCACCCGCCGTCCTGGTGACTTGCGGCTTCGGGCACCACGCAGAGCTCGCGCATGATGGTATGGGGTGGCGTCGGAGTTCCCGGTTCTCCTCCAACAGCAGTGCCTGAAAATTTGCGTTAAGACATCAGAAATCACGCAAACAGTCAGCTGAGCGGCGCGCGACGCGAAGGCTTCCACGCGGCTTCCTTATCGCCCAGCATCAGAGCGGCGGCAGCGGCGCGACCCGAGCGAATCCCGGATGCAATTAGAGGCCACGATAGTGACGCGCTGACAATACCAGGCTGTGTGTGTGTGTGTTTTTATTTTAAATCTGTTTTTTTCTTACATAGATAAGATCTGACTTTTTAAATTGTTAAATTGAAATTGAGACGTCAAACGAGAATCACACGATGCTAATGGAAAGTCGAGCTTTCATGTCAAGCGTGTCGAAGTAAGAGAGCCGCCGGCGGCGCGGCGTGCTCCCTACTTACTTGCGGGCTTGAGCCGGTGCACGTGTAGTGCGATGACGCGACGCGACGGCGACGACGGCCCTGCTGCGGTGGCCGTGGCCGAGGGAGATCCCTCCCACCACTCTCGCGCCGCACGCACACGACCACGTGACACCCCGGTGCGTCCGACAACGACCTGGCGATGGCGACGGCGTGGTCCACCCGGCACAGCACAGCTGCCCTCGAGCCTTGCCGTGGTCAGCCCCTGCTGTCCGGCACGCCCGCTCTACCATCGCCTCATGTCGAAAAGTGGACAGTCTCCTACTCTGACTCGTTTTGCGCCGCTTGCCTTATCTGACATATTCCGGAGACTGTCTGCAAGCGACCTGGAATACCAGAGGAGGATGTTGTGGCACCCGTCAACGTAGTCAAGGACCAACGACAAACGGCCCGCGTTAGTTCGCGCCACAGTCTGCCCGGAAACAGGCAAAAGCATGGTCAGGACTCCCTCTCATAGGTCCGCGCTGGATCCGCGCCTGCCTTAAAGCTGGGTACCGAGAGGGTCCAGAGGGCGCTGCAGGACTGCGCTGGAACCAGCAGTCCAGGGGGTGCTGGGCTGGAGCCCGGGGATGCTGCGCGCGTGCGCCGGAGATGGCGGAGGGCGGAGACAGCGCGGAGCCGGATCGAGCGGCGGGGGGAGGACCGCGGCGCGGAGCGGTAGGGACCGGGGCGAGCGGGGGCGAAGGGGGCACTACG